TTCGGATCAAAACAGCAGATGTGAAAACCAAGCCGTCACGTCGGTTCTCTAACGTTTTCACAACATTTTCAGGAAAACACTTGGCGGATTCGTTCCAGAGGCACAAACACGTGGAAGGAATTTTTTTGCGAAATCTTCGGGAATTACCGGGACTTCCTCAACGATTACAGAAGAAATGCAGCCTGATCTTCATCAAAGTCAGAAAAACATTCAGACGGGCTAAAGTAATCACTCACAGTCCAGACTGCAGAGAACAAAAATGGACTTAGAAAGTGGTTTGTTGTTTCATCTGAAAGAATCAGTAAGAATCCTTCCACGGTGCTTTGAAACGAAGGTCGACTGAAGGTCACAAAGAAATAAAATCACTTTTGATAAAGTTCGGTCTGATTGTGTTGAAATATAAAGCTGAAAGTAGAGTTTAATGAAGCACGGCAGAGGCAGTGTCATCATCTGGTTCACCTGTCAGCAAAATATCTAAAAATGGTGAAACAATTTCAGAATAAAGACTGACTCTCCTATCATCTCCTATTCATAATCTGATCACCAGATTATTATAATCTGTTGAAATCTGAGCTCAGAGTAGATCTGGACGGTCGTGGTCTTCGGACCCTCCTACAGGCCACTGCATTACTAACAGGTCTAGTTCTGTTCTGGACCCAGGAACACTTCCACACATGCCATAACTGGTTAAAGCTCTATCATACAAAAAATGAAGCCATCTACGAACACCAATCAGAAATGTCATCGTCTTCTCTGAACTACAGATTGTTTAAAATCAGACAAACTGTGAAACCATCCAACCATGAACCTGTAAAAACAGGCCCCTTTCTTTTTTGTTTCAGAGAAGGTCTTGCTTATTTCAGCAAAGCAATGATAAACATTCAGCATTGATTACAACAACGTGGCTTCATAGAAGAGTCCAGGTGCTGAACTGGTCTGCCCGAAGTGTTCATATGTTCTGTTGTGAATAAAATATGTGTTTGAGATCTGAAAACTATTTTATTTTGGTTTTATTAAATTTTACACAATTAGAGTGCAGGATATATCGTTTCAGCTTCATCACCACACTGCAGGTCCTGTGATGTAGGAGGCAAATTAAATCAACGTGTTTTCTAAACCATATAATCATTGCACTAATCAGTTGCCTGTTATGGCTTTTATTTTGAAGGGCAGCTTCGTGTCCAAAAATGCTACAACTTTCATTTTGATGCGAAACCTCTGGGACAAATGGCAACAATTTTCAGAGAACTGTTGTCGGTGAAGTTTCCAGCTGCGGAGGAACAAGACGAGGATCATAACCAGAAATGAGGGAGAGTGAATTCCCAGAGGTAAAATACAGTTAGCAAGAATGCTAATATTTTAGCATGATGCAAACAAATTAAGATAAAAGGTGGTAAAACATAATTCATGTTTGCAGATGATAGAAAGAAACGTACTCGGGTCTAGGGCTGCCACAAATGATAATTTTAATAATTGATTAATCACCGATAATTTATTCAATTAGTCGACTAATCGGATCATACGTTAACTGAATATAAAACATACAGCTTATCACGTTAGAATGCAGCTGCTATTATATAATCATCGTGGCAGATGTGGCAGTGGAAGGTGTCAAAGCAGTTTGGAGAGAAAAACAAAGTAAAGAACAAAAAAAGAAAGAAAACGATTAATCGATTATTAAATTAGTCATCAATTATTTTAATAATCGATTAGTCGTCGATTAATCGATTAATCATGGCAGCCCTAATCGGGTCCCAGCACAATTCTTTTTTTATTTACGGTTATTTAATCAGGCAAGTCCCGTTGAGATCTCAGATCTCTTTTCCAAGGACGGCCTGGGCCTGAAGGCAGCCTGTTATACATGTTTTTAGAGGTGGCGGAAACCGGAGCGCCCGGAGAAAACCAACGCAAAGCACTAAGAGAACATGCAAACTCCACACAGAAAAACCCCAGGTCTGAACCGGGGATCAAACCCCGGACCTTGTTGCTGTGAGGCATCAGTGCTAACCACTGATCCATCGTGCTGCCAAAATAAAGACAAGAACATTTTTAACATTTGGAGGTCAGGTCGGTGCAGGACGGCAGCAGAACTTCAAATGTTCAAGTCATCTAGTAAAAAATCCTGGATCTTTTCAAATCACAGGGTTAGGAGATGTCACAATATTTTTCAATTACTGTGCCGCTTTTGTCCCAACATTTTCACAATTTTGATTATGAATGAATCCCCGATTTTTGTGGGGCTTAAAGTGAATCGTAAAAAAAACCCCCAATATTATAATGCAGTAAGAACCAAAGAAAAACACACTAGCTCCACGCCACATCGCTCTGTTAGAGGGAAATGTGTCTCTCCAGGTGGAGCGTGCGTCGTGTACTGTATTTTTTAATAGAACTGAATTTACATTATTCCTTACAAAATTAGCAAATTAGCTTGAAACGTCAAAAACGCAAGAGAGAAAAAACCGACGTTCCATCCTGTACTATATTTACTGATTTGGTGATTTTACGGGTATTAACGCAAACTACTTGTAGTTCGGTTCTATGATTTTGGTTCTCAAACTGTAAAGCACAACTTTGCGAGGCTCGACTGTTTTTAACGTGAGAACTAAAATATTTTGTTCAAACCACAACAGGTTGCATATCTGGTCAGAGCGCTGTGTGTGTCCCGGGGGAACTGGCGTCTCGGCCCGGTCCCAGGACCCCGGAACCTCGGAGAACACCGGGACCCGAGCGCACAACAAAACGAGCCCGTCAGCGTGATTTATCGACCCTTCACCAGCGAGTCCACGTACCGAAAACATGAAAAGTTTTCCCCATCGGAGGACAAAGACGTGTAAAAGATGCGCTCGGGGCAGATGTGGACACAGGAATGTGCTTCTTTTGATTTGATATAAAAAAAAGAAAAAACGGTCAGAAAAAACAATGGAAGAGAAAGAAGTAAAAGAGCTGAATAAGTCCCGATTCTGAGACAAGAGGAGGGGGTTTGAAGTAAACATGGATGCCGGATGAATGCAATTTTTCCTTTTCTTCTTCTCCCCATCTTCGCCCCTTCCTTCTCCTCCTCCGAGCGAGAGAACAAGAGGCACTGCATCATCCCGACAGGCGGAGAAAGAGAAGAGAAGGAGAGAGAAAGAGGGATTGTGACGGAGGGATAAAGGGCTATCCGTCTCTGTCTGTCACCTCATTCATCGTCCCCTGCTCCGTCCTGCCGTCCCATCCGTCATCGGCTGTCACACAGGAAGAAAAAAAAAATACTTTCCACGACAAACACACACATCAAAGACGGCGGACACACAAACTCGGCTCTCCCCGCCTCGTTTCACACATTCACGGCGTGGACGCGCCAACATTTCTGTCCACTTTCACAGGAGCGGCGAGGGAAAACGCGGCCAAAAGGTCCTCACAAGAGTCCGGCCCGTTTCACACATTCAGCCACGCCGGGCCGACTCTTCACGCACGTCTGCACCTCATTGCAAAGTCGACATTCTCGGAGCGGGCCGTCCAGCTCCGACTGATTCTGACCCGTTTTTTTTCTTCTTTTTCCCAGGAAATGAAAGAAAACAAACGGCACACAGGCCGAGTCACTTCCTGCCTGAGGGCCCAGGACGACCCCACGAATCTCTGAGAGCCAGGCCAAAACGTCCCTTAAATTTATTATTATTAGATTGTTTTACTATATGAGCAAGTTAAAATGCAGACATTTTAATCATTATTAGCGAGACGTAAATTTTATTAGCAGAGACGATTACTTTTTATCACATCCTTATTCGCAACACAAACATGCTACTTTAATTTTTACACGTTAAACACTCATGAAGGGTTCTGATCTGTAAACAAATTCGTTGACATCTGGCAGCCATTTTTATCGTACGTAGAAAAAATTTCGGCAGATAATTTTGTGTAAAGGTCAAATATTGTTTCATTGTACACAAACCTGTGCTTTGTATCACTGATTTATGAATACAAGATGGTTTTATGTTGTTGCAGTGGATCCGGTATAGGAGAGGAGGGATGGGAGGGATTTTGGGTGTGTGTTGTTTTGTGTTTTTGTTAGTTTGTTCTTTTCTGTAGTTTGTGTTAAAAATATATTAATAAAAAGACCTTGAAAAAAAAAACACTCATGAAGGTTTTGACTGTTTGGAAATTACAATTTATTTTCCAGAAAATGTTTGTTTTCTAAAATGAAATCTCTTTTCTAAACTCTAATTTCTTGATTTCTTTGACAGTTCATATCGCTGTTTCAGTTGTTGAAGTACAAATTTTAACTTTCAACGTTTATTTAAATGGTTCTGAAATCCAGATAAACATTGTTTTTATTAAATAAAAAACACTAAATTTTAGTTAAATTGTAATTATATTTACTTCCATGTTTGTCGTTTACATTTGGTGTTTCTAAAAGGAGTACAAACCTCCTCTGCTTGTGTCAACAAACTTCTAGAGATTAAAATCTTAATTTTCTGGAGTTTAGTAATCTATATTCTAGAAAATTAAGATTTTGTCTGAAAACTTCAGTTTATTAATCCTCTAATTTAGTTTGTTGTAAATAGAAATAATAAAAAAAATCCCAGTTCTTCAAACTTTTCTTGACAAGCGCAAAATCAGATTTTATACATTTAAAACCTAAAAACATCACAATCCTACTTTAACTCACATTTTCTTTCATTTTAAGACAAATATCACAACGAGGTGCAGCTGCAGACGTGACGTCAGCAGAAAGAGAGAAATAAAGAAAGAAAAACTTGAGTTTTAGAAGAGTCTGTGGGTGTTTGGAAACAAAGTAAAAACTTTTAAAATAAATAAAAATAAGTAAAGAAATCCAAACAATCAGAAGAAACATAAAGGAAGACGACGATGACTGAGGAGGATGAAGAGGACTGTGTGAGGAGGAGGAGGTGGGGGGGGATAGTGTGGACAAACAAAAAAACAAAACAAACAACAACAACAAAATGAACAGAGGAGGAGAAAACGAAGGAGAGAGGACCACGGGGGAGACAAAGACCTACTTGTCTCAAGTCACTGAAGGCCAGAAGCAACGTGTCACCCTGGAAGCCTGCGACCGGGCCGGCTCTGGCAAAACCTGTGGGAAAATACAACCCACCCCACCAAAACCAGTCCACCCCCGGAGAGAGGGAAGAGAGGAGGAGGAGGAGGAGGAGGAGGAAGATAAAAAAACAGGGTGAAAAACGGAATAATAAAAGACCTGGTCGGATTTGCTTTGCATCGGGACGGATTGGCAGACAAATGACAGCCTGGGGAGGAGGGGTGCAACAGGGGGTGGGGGGGTTAGAGTCATGTCTGTGTGTGTGTGTGTGTGTGTGTGTNGTGTGTGTGTGTGTGTGTGTGTGTGTGTGTGTGTGTGTGTGTGTGTGTGTGTGTGTGAGCGAGGATGGAAAGGAGCACTAAGTTCCCAACGTGTCGGATCGATGATTTCTACCGATTCCGCGCCTGTTTTTCGTTGGCAGGTCCGAGGACACGGCCCGAAGCCCGTTCCTGGATCCGACGCCTCGGGGTCGACCGGAGTGTGAAGCTGGGCATCGCTCGGCCCCTCGTAAACAAGCCGGGCTGGTGTTGGGAGCGAGGGGGAAGGAGGAGAGTGAGCGCACACACCGTACACACCACAGTGCTCATTACACGCCTGCCATCTCCGCTGACCTCGAGCGCCGACAGCTCCTGAACTCTGGAGCCGCCGCTCGAATTAACCTCTGATAACTTTTAAACTTTTCCCCTTTTTCCCCCTGAAGGGTCTTCCAAACATAATGAGAAAACAGGTTGGCGTTGGAGAAAGCTGCATCTAATCTGGATTAACAACAATCGGGTAAAGGTCCTGGACACAAATGTGGCAGGGTCAAGACCGAAGCACCTTTAAGGGTGGTACAAACGGATTAGAAGGTTAATAAAAGGGCACAAAGGGATCTATCCTTCAGGTATCCTACAAACTGAGCAACATCCATCGATTTTACATCTCAAGGGAGCAAATGAAACAACCCTCGGGACTAGCAATCAAAGTTATGGATTTTATCGATCGACTAACGATTAACCAATAAGCGGACATTTTCTAAAAACCTGTTTTCTCTGGAATCAAGACAATCCATCATTATAGTTTAACAATTTATTGTGCCAGCTGTATTAAAACTGGCTAAATAAACACAAAATAGTGGATTTATCCATTAAACTTGGACCTGTCCTGATCAAAATTTGAAGACCAGTTGAAAAATGGCAACGTTTTTCACAGTTGGATCGTAAGAGGTTCGAAAAGCAAAAACAAGAAATGGGAGTGAGTTCATGTCGTTTTATTTTCTTCGTCCTGGAGATTTTTCGCTGACTGACAAATAACTTTGGGCCTCGGAGGGTTTTTATTTTTTTGGCTCAAGAAGAGGAGGAAACCGACGGCGGATTGCAGGTTTTTTGCTCGCAATGCGACACACAGCAAATTGGACGTCATTTTAAGGGGAAAAAAAGCCACGTTTATTATTTATCATAACTTGGGTTTTACTATCAACACAATTTAAAAACTGGTTTAAAATCTGAAGTCTGTACTATTGACTCAAATTTAAACTTCATGTCCGTCTAAGTGGACATTATCAGTTAATCGAACTAACTGGATTTGAAAAAAACCCCAACTAAAACCCAACATAATCAAAGACACCTTAGAGGTGTCCAGGGTAACGTATTTCTCTTCAACTCAATAAGAGGTTTCAGATCAAACAGTTCTAAACACGTCCCTCCAGTTTTTCCCCTCACTGTGGGGCTGGAGGGACAACAGGTCCAAGAAGAAAACCCAGACATACACCTCTCCTGCTCCTTTTAAGGCAGTGGTTCCCAACCTTTATTCTTTTATTATTTTGATAAAGAGATCAGGGTTGAACAGGTTTTTGGGAGAGGTAGGGAGTAGATTGGACCACTGGTCTAAGGGAGCCTCAAGGTGTTCCCAGACCACCTGCAGTCCTACTGGTGAGTTATGGTTCCGTCTCGAGGTTTGCCTTGGAGGAGCAAGACTTTTGGACTTCCCTGATCAAACTACTACCCCCTGAAACCCGACTCAACAAGGAGAAGATAATGGATGGATGGGACCAGATAAGACCACCTCGTCTCACGGAAACTGTGTTTTAGGAGCTACTGAAGGGTATTTTTCTAAACTGGTTTGTATTGTGTTTCCATTAGAACAGCCTAAATCCAATCTTTGGATAACGATGATGCTATCGTCCCACCAACAACAACCGACAACCCCGAGCAGATGTACAAATGAGGTTTTGGTAGGGCGGCGTTCTTGTTTGGACGGGGGTGATTCCCCCTCACTGAATTGGTTCCAGAGCTGCAAAACCAGATTAAAACTGGTTTGGGTCCACAGCCTGAGCGCGTCCAGAGTCATGTCTTTTCTATACGTCTTATTGATACTATTTAAGTTTCAGTGTAAAATACTTTGTGTGTGCTTTTGGAAATTTGACACCTTTTCCTACATTATTCTGATTTCCTTTATTTACTTTAAAAATGTATTTTTAAAGTTCATTTTGGCTCCATATTTTTCAGTTTTTAATCAGTAACTTTGCATTTTATCCTGTTTTATTTTCCTTTAAATCTTCAAGTTTGTCTTCTTACTTTGTTTGAGCGTCTCCATTTCTTCCAAACCGTCACAATCCTGGAATTCTCTAACTTCTAATCCGTTCCTGCATTTCCTTTTTCTTTTTAAACCTATAATTAATCTCCACTGAAAACCTCTCATCCGTGTTCTCCCCTGCATTTTCCTGCCTTTTATTAAATTCACCTTAATCCAATTTGGTTTTTGTCTCGCCTCTTTTACATCCTTATAGTTTTTTTTTACACTTCACCCATTTCAGAGCTTTAAAGTTCCCCGTCTTTAAACCTGTAAAGAGGTTTTTTTCTACTTATTGCGGTGATTTTTTTTGCCCTTCTAAATTTCTGCATGCATTTTTAATCGTAACTGGTCTTTTTTTACACTTTCCTTGGACTATTTCCTAATTTTTGACAGGTTTTCTTATTGGTTTTAACTGATCAGTTGTTCGAAATAATTAACTGAATCCCCGTCTTCGTGGTTTCCTCCTTTTGAAACGTTGAAAAACTCTTAAATCTTTTGCTCCTTCTGTTCGTTTCCCTCCTCTACTGTATCTCCAGGCCCAACTTCCTGACCGGTTTCTGCTCCGAACAAAAAGCGTCTCTGCAGCCTCCTAATCTCTCTGCACGCATGTCGCTGCGCATCAATCCCCGGACCTGAAGACACGCAGTGTGACCCGCTCCCTGACTCTAAGAACCTTGATCATGTAAAAACCCAGCCGACGACGCCTCTCATGCCTCTAACTCCTTTATCCGTTAAAAAAAGAGCCTCAAAGTCTCACAAATCAAGGAGCGAGGAGGAGGTTGGGAAGGAGAGGAGAACTGTACCGGAGGAGGAGGAGGACGGTGAAAAGATCCTGTGGGGGAAGGAACATCAAGGTGGAAGAGACAGGAAGTAAATCTAAAGTTTCTCCTCTGGTTTGTTTGTTCCGTAGCGCCCCCTGTGTTTTCTGACGCAAACTGAAAAAAAACGCCTCTTTGACGAAAAGAGTTCGACTCAAATCTGAGAGATTTAATCTAAATTAAATAGTTTGTGTGTTTGTGAGGAGGAAATGAGGGAAAATCAGCAAAAACAAGAAGCAAAAGCACAAATCTGCATCAAATGAAGGATTACATTTACTTAGTAAACGGAATACGGAGAAAAACTGAAGCAAAGCGACAAAAAGTTTTTACCAGGTTTTGTCACAATGTGAGAATTTAATTTAAACACTAATCTGCAGTTTGAACAATAAACCGGAAGACTCACTCTCGCACTCGTTGACGTCGACCTGGAGCTGGTGCAGAGCGCCGATGGAGATCTGCCGGACCTCCGGGTCCAGCAGCAGCTGCATCAGGGAGGTGGAGATGTGTTTACAGGCCGACATGCAGGCCGTCTGCGCCACTTTCCCCTGAGGAGGAGGACGAGACAGAGAGCAGGTGATCAAAGACCAGGTTGTGACACGCATCACTTCCTGTCTGCCAGAGACACTTTCCTGGACTGGAGTCAGGTAAAGATCATTTAAACTTCAGTGTTCTGCCTTTCTGACACGTCGGTGAAAATTTACTTTACTTTTCAGACAAAAAAAAAAAAAAATGTCTAAAAAACTATTTAATGTTTACTTTGTCAAAGTAGACTTTAGATAAGTAAATATGATGGGTTTCAGGAGTTTCTAAATAAAAACCATTAAAAGCAGAAAAATTATTAAAAATGTTTTCTGGAAAACATTTCTGAAAGTTTCATCGTCTAACTGAATTACAAAAATGTGTAATTAAATATAAATAACATGTTTGGAAACTGAATTTGACTCAACTTAAATAACATTTTAACTACATTGGAACACGTTGAATTATAAAGGTTTTAAATCCGTTCCTATTTTCTTTTATTTTACTTTAAATC